TGATATGATAAAAACCTCTTATTTCTTTATGCTATATTCTGTAGACAATAGGATGAGAGGATACAAGTTTAGTATTATGTAACATATTAGGATAACAAAAAGACCTGTTATCTAAACTAAACTTTAAAAAAACCACCAAAACTATAAAACTTTGTTGCTGTCAATTCTTGTGATCTTTTGAGGGGTTGTTGTAGCAGCTTATCTTGAACTTATCCGGGATTCATGTAATCTGTTGATTTTGTCAGTGAGGATATTTTCAGTTGCTGTTCTGAAGTCTATACCAAATTATTGGGCAGTGGATTGATGATCCCTACCCGCATTCTTAGCGTAACATTTAAGGACAATAAGAGGCTGTCCATTAAACCAAAAACAGCAACAAAGCCAGTCCTCATTAGTTAAGTATTTATCAAGCCTTCCCTTAAATTTCCTTTATCCAACATATTTGAAGGCAACCCATTACAAAGGCCAACCAACATGTTAGAAAAGTAAAACTAGTAAAAAAAAAAAGTGAAAACAATCCCTGTAGATGCCCATCTGTCTCACTTCACCTGCTTTTTTGTCTGTTATCTACCGATAGATGGTATTTTTTTATATTTTCACCCATGGTCTGTTCACTTCTCCTTCCCCTCTTGCATGTTTCCTTTTCTCTTCCATTCCTGTTTATCTTCAGTGTCATATGGATTCAGATCTTTTTATCCAAACTTGCCATTGATAGTGTATACACCCCTTCTCCAGGTTGTTTTACTCTTCATGGTGGTTCCCTAGTAGACTAGGGATTGGCATCTGGTAATCAACCTATCATATCTCACTTGGTTTCAGGTTGTTCCACAGTTCCAGATGGAGAATTTCTTTTCTCTCTGCTGGTCTTCTTCATCTAGTTGGTGAGTAACCATGGTCACCTTGTCAAATGCCTTTGTTTATCCTGATTACCTTGTCTTCCAAGTGTTTTTTACATTTTGTCCATTGGAATCAAGTCTTCCAGTTATGTGCTCTTCCCTTCAGTATGGCATTGGTGACCCCTTATGTCTTCCATCAAGTTGTGAGGGCCTTGCCACCTTCATGGACTGAGACTGTTTTTCCAATACTTTATGGGCAATTGGCTTATACTTGCCCATTCTTGGAAGATGTCCTTTGTCCTTCTCTCACATCCCCCTTCTTCTGCAGGAGGCTGTTTGGTTGTGATGTCTTGTCACACTGTCTAAGTTCTTTCTTATGGCTACACAGTATTTAGTACATTTAGACATTTTTTTCTACTCTTGTTTTGTTTGAGTTCAGCATCCACCTCTTTGCCTGCAAGCTACGGAATGTCTGGTAACAGTGGTTTGCACTTCTCATTTTCATCCTCCATTTTATGTTCTTTCACATCTGGGGACTTTGTCATCCCTAGAACCACTAATTCTTTTAGGGCATGCATATGTATAGTTAATTTTGTGAGACCAGTCAAATCTTTCTCAGAACCCATTGTCCTTGATTATGAATCTCCCTTATTATCTTCATGAGAATTTTTCTTGGTGGCTAGACTGTGCCAATACTACTGTTTGTGTTCCATTATCACCTCCAGCCCAAATCTCCATTTGTTCGCAGTTGTTTCTTATTTGGGTTGGGATGCATCTTTGAACAACATCATGTCTTCTGGTGTTTGGGCATGGGAAGAGAGTTAACTTCACATCAATGTGCTTGAAATTCTTAATGTTTGTTGGGCATCTTCCCATATCCTTTCTCTTCTGGTGGATCAATTGGTCATGACCTATTCTGACAATTATATAGTTGTTTCTTATCTCACTCACTCAAGGACTCTGATTTTGGGCATTGGACCTCCTTTTCTGGGTTCTTTCCCATCAAGCTCATCTTATCTTTTGTCACATCTTTAAACCTGGTGGCAGGTTGCTCCTCTCAGTCAGACCATGTTCTGCCAATGGTGTGGTCTCTTCACCCCCAGGGTTTTTTGCTGGTTTTGCTCTTGGTTAGACTTGCATTTCATGGATGCCTTTGCTTTTCCTCTAAACTTCAAGCTTCCTCTCTTCTGGTCCCCTGTTCCTTATCCTTCAAATCTTGTTGTCAGTGCTCTCAGCCAGGACTGTGTAATTGGCAGCACCCTGAGGCTAATTGTTGGAGTTTCAACTATACTGCCGATTACACCAAATTTATTTAGTTGAGGATTGTGGTGGTGAGTGGAGCTCACAAGTCACTAACTCGAGGTAATTTACAGTTAAATAAAGAAACTGAGTCGGACTCTTTCAGTTATTAATATAATAGTCTTTAATTGTCTGTTTCACAATACATAATCAACAACAATACTAAACATAAGCATATAGATAAATTTTATCTCTTGTAAACTTCTACTAATAATCAGTTAACACATTCTATAATTACACTGATTGAAGCTTGAGGGTCAGAAAATTCTACTTACAACATAGTTGGCAAGGTGTATCTTTGCAGGTTGGATACTTTCAACATCATCATAGAGATGGCTGAGAGCAACTGCTGGGAACTCCTGAGAACTTAACAAGAACTTGCAAGGAACTGATTTTCTACCTCAGAAATGAATTTTAAACAACTTTTCCCTCGTGTCCCTACGAATTTCCAACTAGTATGCAGCACTACTTGCAAGTAGTTCTCACACCTTATTGCTTAATTCTTGTGACACATTGGACTGTTCCAAAACTATAACCAAAACTCTCAAGTGATTGGTTACTGTTATGGTGAGGTAGCTGGTTGTCTTCTTACTTGTGCTAGTACACTAGCGACATGTAAGGAATATATCATCAAAGTACCGCTTTTGCTTGTTAACATCAACTTTTCCGTATCCTCCAAAGTACTAATGAGTTGGCATCAGTAATTAATCACTCAGTCATTTGTGCTAGTGCATCTACTTCACTTCCTACACCATTCTATTATATATACATGTACCACACTCCAACTTTACCTTATATATATTTTGTTTTTGCTCGCTCAAGAAATTGTCTTAAACTTGGAAATTTCCACGAAGCAATTGCACGAATTTCTCAAAATCCTCAATTGCTTCACTAATCTTACCTTTGGCTGTATACCTAGTTTCCTCATCTACTCCTCCCTTAGGTCCTCATCTTCCTACTCAACACTCTTTATCAGGTCCTTTTGGTGGTGCCTCTTTGGCCAGCTCAGCCCTGATTTCCACTACTTATTCAGTTGGTGTCCAGACCCCTCCTTCCTCTACCCAGTATGGTGAGAAATAGGGTTGTTGTGATACTGTCAGTGTAATGCAGGTCACCCCTCAAACAGCTAGTGTGCCCTCCTTGTGCAGCCTCAGTCTGTGCAGTTGAGGTGAGCACACCCTGTATGGTCTGATCACTCCCTAACCACACTTTACCTAGTGACTCACTGATTGCTTTTGTGCAAGTGCTTGGATGGTCATATTCTCATTCCTCCTATCCCTGTGGCACTTGGAGTTTATTTGTCTCCCCCCCCCCTTTTACATTTCATGTGAAGAGTATACCCTGTTTGAGATGAGGTGCTTTCTCCCATGGTTGTCACACTCTTTGGACTTTCCCTTTGGGCATTTTCTGAAGGGAGCTTATGTAGGTTTAATTTTGCACCAGCCCCTGCAGCAAATTAAATGGGATTTTAGCTATTCTTTGTAAAAAAAAGTGAGGTATCATCTCATTAGATAATATTTCTAATCTGAAAATGTATTTCCAATAAATACTCACCTCATTACACATTCCCACCCAATCTTTCCACTAACAGAACATTTTTTTTTGTCCTCTAAGAATGAACTTATTTTGAGTGAAAGTGCTTAAGGGAAGTTACTGTGTATGAAGATTGTGTCATCCTCCTATTGGTGGAGGCAATTGTTGCATGATGATGTTATCATGTATCAGTGCAGCTCATGTAAACATGCATTTTAGGTGGGAGTTAGCTCAGGGCTCGTAGCATGCAGATCTCGTAAGCAAACACACGAGGGATATAGCTATTCTGTATATGGAGGTGTCTATTGGAAATACATTTTCAGATTATGAAAATGTTAATTTTGAATAGCTTTAACAGTTTTTAATACCATCAAAATTGTTCAAAGGCCACCAGCAGATACTAGTGGCAGACAATTATACAGAAACATGTACCAAGATCGAAGCATTTATCAAAATATAGTCAGTAAATAGTTGGTAGCATGTGGAAAATGCACCAAAATGATCATACTCACTTGCAACAGGAAATACAAGAATGTACAATAACTAATGTCATTGATTTTTGGTGTAAATTTTCTAGGCCATAATAAACTTACACACCTTTAATTATTTGACTCCATGTTTTTTGTGATCAACCATAACTGAGAATTAAGGAATTCTTTCAATTTTATGGTAAATTTAATTAGTTGCTTGGTTGTTCCACATTCTTTTCCATAAATATAATATTCATTACATTCATTGTATAAAAATATTTTTCCATTCTGCATGTATTTAGTTCAGAACTTGTTTTTTACAAGGAAGTGTAGATAAAGTAATTTCTTTTTTTTAAAGCAGAAAGCTAACTCCACTCAAATATATGTAAAGTCATTCCTAAGTTTCACTGGACTCAGCTGGAATTCAAATGTATAATAGGTTCAAGCCTGTTTGTATTTACAGAACAAATGTAAGGAAAAAAACCTTTACTATGTCAAAATGTAATGAAATATATTAACAAATTTTCCGATATATTGAGTAGTTTTTGCTACAAATTTGAACCACTGATAGATCAGCCATAAGCATTTGATTTGACTCTGGAACTGTTATACTTATTAATTTGTAATTTTGAAATCTTAATGATGTCTTTATTTACATTCATAAAGACATCATTAAGAGTTCAAAATAAAAAAATAATTTTTTCTCTTGCAAGAAAAAAAAGAAAAATTTAATAAAATGTTAATGAATCTGTAAGTTGGGCAATTTCAAAGGTCAGTGTGCATTACATTGGTCTATTGAATTGTGTAAGATGATACTGGGCTGATGAACTAATACCTTACATTGTAAACTTCTGTCTTTCAGGCTGTGGCATTGACTAGTTCATGAAAATGGCTGAGGTGGATCCCGAAACTTTGTTAGAATGGCTAAATATGGGCCAAGGGGATGAAAGAGAAATGCAACTTATTGCTTTAGAGCAACTATGTATGTTGCTTTTAATGTCTGACAATGTTGATAGATGTTTTGAAAGGTAGGTTTTTTCTTTATTCTTCACAAAAATCCATTAAGTCATGATATTAAAGATTGAATATTATATGAAATGTGTACTTGTTACTATGTATAATATAAAACTAATACATTGAAAATCTCTTAAATTACTTAAGTTTTATACTAATGGAAAGGAAACTGCACTCAAAAAAGTTCAAAATATGGTAATAAAATTTAAGTGCTCATTATTGTTTTAGGAATCAAGTTTTCAAACTGGTTTTTAATCATTTCTTATCTCTTATCTTATTTCCACGCTGATTTTTCCAAGCCCGTTCCCTTGGCTGTGGTTTCGCTAGATAGTAGATAGGGACAGTGGGAATCTAGTTAATCCATTGAAAACTGATTAAAAAGATATATAAAATTATTATTTGCTAAAAATAAGAATAACAGTCCAGTTTAACTAGAATATTATATCAAGCAAAACTGTATTGCTCATATTACTTATCAGAGTTGTATTGCTATAAGCCAAACACAGACTTCACACAAAATGTTATATTTTTACACCAAAAATTATTGTATAATCTTTTCATTCCATATTGTGGTTTATGAGGCAAGTTATTATTAACATACTTAACTTTTAAGCAACTAATAATATTACAAACATTGCTTCCCCCAATTGGATATAGATCTGACCAATCATTGCAACTGAATTTTTTGTTTATTGCTTGCTAACTAGGAAATTTACACAAAATTATCATGATCTTAGTAATAAAATTATGCTTAAAAATGTTTTTTTTTTTAAGTTCCAACTTTCATTGCTTGAATGATATGTATTCAAAGTTAAGTAAACTTGTCGAGTTTCTGTATAGTTCTATCAGAATGAATTACATAAATGTAAATAATATTATATTTTAATTTGTATAAATTTTGAACTTATGTCTGGTACACTATCATTCTATGTGTAAGAATTTTTACAGAGTTGGAAATATAATCATTTAATTGTAAAAATGATCATTTAAGGGTAATAAATAATTTATTTTTTATTTTTCTGGAAATAAAATTTGTTTGTAGTGGCTTTCATTTCGGTTATATTCATGAAGTTCATTATTCATTTTTGTCATGAACAACTAATTTTTAGAAGCATTAACTAAGAAGATTTATAATGTTTATCCAATAGAGTAGAAATATAGTTTCATACATAAGTTAAAATGTGTTGAAGGAAACAAAATTAATGGATATTGTGATTTATTAAAGAAAAACACTTGTGTAACTTAATACACAGTCACTTAGTTACTATGAAGAAGTTTATTTAATAAATTCATCTAATTTAAAGTGTTAAAGATAAATTACTTCAGTGTTTTAGTTTAAAGGGTGGATAATTAAATCCCATTTGAACACAAGTTAAACAGAAAATTTATGAAAGAATATAAATATTAAGATGAGAGTACGTTATTGCACATGATATTTCCACATTCAAAGAGAAAGCTGTTTTGTTGAAAGTGATATGAAGTAAATTTACCAAATGATCTATAATTTTAACTTTGTGTCATACTCTTTGTAGAGCTGGTTGATTTAGTTGATTAATTGTTATGTATGAGCAGTAATTATGATTAGTGTAACATAAACTAATCTATTAATCAAAATTGTGATTAAATCAATTAAACATGATTAGCTTCCAATTATTATTGTTTTTTGATTATTCCATCAGTTATTCATGAAAATAATCATTTCATTGAAATTAGTGTTTTTGATTATTTCAATAATGATTAATTGAAATTATGGTTAAATTGATTGTAACCAAAGTAATTAACTAATCAGAGTTAGGGTTTTTATTTACAGTAATTGTAACTATCAAACTAATTGACATATTGCTATTATGTTTGTTTGGACTGTCTGTGCTTTGCACAATGTTAGCCTAGTAAGTATTTTTTTTACTTCAAGTTTGTTCATATTTGGTGATTGGAGAGGGGAACTTGTGACTAGAGGGTTTTAGGTTTGATTTACATTGACATCAAATTTGTAACTGCTAAATAGAGGAAAGGCAACTGTGGTAGCATCCATCACCACCACATTGTTTTTCTTGTTGGCTTATTGACTGGAGGGAAGGCAAATGTTTGGCAGCATCATGGTGCCAACTTGTTTTTCTTCTTGAACTTCTGGCTAAAGGAAAGTCAATTGTCTGGCAGCATCTACTGTCAGCATTGTTTTTTTATTTTTGAACTGCTGACTAGAGAGAAGGCAACTTGCAGACAGTACCCACCACTCGCATACTTGTTTATATGTAATGTAGTTTGAGGAACTCCATGCTGGTTGATTGATAGAATGTAATTGATTAACTCTCTCTCTCTACAGACAGGTCAAAGGGTGTATGTCACCACATATTAGAGAGCTATTTTCAAAATGTAATTAACTTTATAATCATTGCATGTTAGTACAATTGGCATCACTGTCTAATTTATAATTCAAATCTTAATATTATTTGTTTTAATTTCTTAATTCAAAAGAAAATATAGTAAAAAATGCCAAATATGCTTTTTTTGTGTGTCATATGGCATGCCTTACTGCTTAGTTTATACAATCTCTAAATTAGAAAGTCAAACTTCAGACACTTACTAGTTAGAATATAAAATAAGAACCTCCCACCTTTTTGATTTGCTAAGATATCAATACATTTTGCAAACCTACAAGGGTTGCCATGCCCACTGCTCCATTTGTTTGAAACCTCTTGTCTACTTATGCCTACTTCTCCTAAGTACATGTTTATAACCAATTAAAAGAGTGCATTACAAACTATGAAAATCTGACAGCAGTTTGTAATTGGCTTGAATTTGACTGGAAATGTTGAAGTCTGTTGAATAAGTTATTGCTCTGGAGAGAAATGAGATTTTTCAAAAACCCACATATAGCTTAGTTAGAAAGCCAGGTAAATTACTGTGGTTTTGTGTGTACCATTATAGTAATTATAGCCACACTAGCTTATTTACTATCAATGATGTGGTATTACAGTATCTCATAAACAGTCCAATGGCAAGAGTGATGATTCATTGCATTATGATTGAGGAAAATACAGGAAATAGATGTGAAAAGGTCAGAAATATAAACTCTCAGGGTTAGTACTTTGGAACTTTGTGGCCAATACTAAAGAGGATAGAACAGTACTACTCACTTTATTTTAGATTTTTCAAACTTTAAAGGTTTATGGTGGTTGAGGGCAGTCAAATTGACTGACCCCACATTGCAATATTGGAGTGATCAGGCCATTGCCACAGCTAAACAATGTGACACATGATGTGTGCAGAGCATGCCATTTTAGGGGGGGGGGGGTCTGGGACCAGACAATTTTTTAAAATTTAATGCTATGAGATTGAATTTTGAGCCATTTTAACTACAAGTACTGCATACACACAATGTAATGTATTGAATTAAAATAAGCAAGTTTTAATACATAACATGTAGCTGTACATGTCATGAAAAAGTAGTCAGCCCATGGCCTGACTGGCCTTAGTGCTTCCTTACAGCCCTGTGAATCCATATAGAGTTAGGGTAGAGAAAATAACAGATAAAGTATAAAGTTTTTCCAAAAAAAAAGTTTAATATTTATTTAGAAAGTTTTAGAGATCATGTAAATGAAATTTGAAAATTTTCAGATGAAAAGTATTTTTGTCTTAACATGAAAATCACTTTGCACAAGAAGCAGTCAGCACACTAAATACGTATATTCAGGGAAAATTTTTTTCGTCAAAATACTTAATAAAAAATTCAGATTTTTTGTGTCTGTAAAAGACTTGTAATGCCTACCAAAAGATTGAAAAATTTTGTGAATATACACAATAAATGTTAAAAGTTATAGTATTTAAACATCTGATTGTCATTTTGGGGTCACGTGGTTGGTGTAATTCACCAAATCATTAGTAAAAGAGTTAAAAATCTGTCTCAAAAAATTTTATCAAATGAATAAAATTATCAAAAGCCATGGGAAATTGCTTTTATATAAAGCTTCAGACTCAGTAGTGTAGAATAAGTTACCTTTTTAATTCTAAACTTTGTACATGAAAATGTATTATACAGGCAGTGTAACTTTGTTGTTTATCATTTAGAAATAATAAAAGATTCATTCACTTACCTTTCACCTGTTTCAACAGTACTACATATACATTTCTATAATTTTTATTCCAGACAATCTAGTATTGTTTTACATGTTTATAAATGTTGATATCAGTATTGGGACCTTAAGTGTTGTATCTATAACTAGGCAATTACTCTTACACTTTTAAACCAACCAGAGGAAATGAATAATCATAGCTGGTTTATTTTAGGCAAATGAGTGCTTGGCCAAAGTAGAAACTTGGTATTTTTTTTATGTTCTTGAAGTAGCTGAGTTTTAAAGTAAAACAACTTAAAAATTTAAATAACTTCAATTTATTTTCTAAAATAAAACTTTTGATAGTTATGTTATCTTACGGTGTTTGAAAACCAGTATGACATGAATAAGAATAAAACTAGAAAGAAAGCTTATTCAGATAATATCACATTGTGTTAACAAGTAACGACAATGTTTATCTTCTGCACTAGTTGCATTAATGTATTATTTCTATAATGATGATATGTTGCCAGTTAACTTTTTAAAGGTTAGATGTGTAATTTTCAGTATTTTTTATATGAAAAAAGAAACTTTCATTATAATATGGTATTTTGGATTTATTAGTGTTGACCTTTTGGTTCTGAAGTAAGTTAAAATAATGTTAATATATTCTGTAAATGGTTACTTCAGTCAGGTTATAATCCAGCAATTTCTGAGTTTATATCTTTATGTCTATGTGATTTATATTAAGAAAAAAAGAACTAGGAACAAACTTTTCAAACTTTTTAATTGAAATTAAATAGTTATACTAATGTGTAAGGATATCAGGAAGAAAATTATATCCTTGGTAAACAGTATGTCTGTTTCCAGCATTAAAAAAAAAAAGTGTATATATAATCATATCACTTGAATTGTAACTTATTTTAGACATCAACGATATGAAAAACATCTTTCTCATGAGAGTTTTAGCTTCAGAATAATGAAAAATCAAATCAGTAATAAGTTTACCTTAAGAGAGCAGGTGTCCTAAACAATACTAACTTTGATAAAACAAATCTATAAAGTCTAGGCACATTATTAGGCCAAGTAAAAAGAAAGTTTAATGTCCTGAGTTTTTGTGAAACAAGGAAGGAGGAGGCCCACCCCCTTTTTAAATGACCTCTTTTAAAAAAAGTTTGCATCCTTTTTTCATAGTTGTTGCTTGTTTTCAAAGTATCCATGTCAAACAGAAGTCTTCTTTGTTTCTTTTTTCATCAAAATGATACAGAATTTATGACAAATAAAGAACAAAAGGGCAAAATGAATCAACTGTGTTCATCTCATTTTTTATTCAAAGTCTTCTTTGTTTATTTGTATGATTGAAAAATGATAATTCAAAAAAGGCAAAAAATTGCTAAAAAAGTGGGGTGAGGCAGCTGAAAAAAAAGAAGAGAATGGGGATGCTAAACGTGTATTTTCTTTTTTACTTGGCCTTAGAGTGTCAAGAAAAAATTAACATGGCAACATTTAATTGATGCTCATATTTATTTTCTGGATTGCTGTATTCTCCAGCTTTGTTGATTTCAGAAAACAAAAAGAAAACTCTTTATGGTATTTAATAGCCCAATCAAATAAAAACACTGAACTTTAATATTTGTTTTTTGATACTATATAGTAGCATAAGGATGGTAATTTTAATATTAATTTCTGAAAATATTTAGGAAGAGGGATTTAAATGCTTCCTAGACCTGCATTTACTTACACAATAGTAGATAAGTTATTAGTTTTTGAAAAAAATGAGTGGAGAGGTTTTGCCCCTTAACCCCATAGGTCTGTACTTGCTAGTACAACAAAGATTAGTTATAAATTTCTGGGGGGAAAATGGATGGTGGGGTCCAGAGAGTTAATTTACATCTTACTTAACACTTAAGTATCCAGAGAGTTGGTGGTGGGTGCTGAAAGCTATTTGCCTTTCATCCAGTTAGCAGTTCAAGATTATGTAGCTCTATGTGTAAGAGCAAACATAATAACAATGTTTCATTTACTTGGACAGATGGAATAAGAAAAACAATAAATAATTGAAAACCCTAATTTTGATTAGTTGATTACTTTTGTGACATTAACTGATTAATTATAATTTGGATTAATTGATTAGTTTATTAGACACTAATTGATATAATTGCTTACAGGTAGTCTATTACTTTGGTTAATTCAACCAGTTCTGTTTATCACAAGTGGATTGAAAAAGATAAGATACAGCATTGAAGTGAAAATAAAACTATTTTAAAATATAAAAGGAGATGAAGAGTAAAGATGATGGTTGAAATTGTATTTGAAAAGTTTGATATAAAAGCAATTGAAATTATTAAAGAATATGTAGTGAGAAACAAATATACAATCAGCAACAAAAATGACACTTACACAAACAAGGCTACTCCAGGAAGTTTTCTCTGTAGCTGGTAAATCAGAAAATTAGATCACCAGAATCTGGACGTATTTTTGCTCCATGTGACAAGTTGTTAAGCAGTCCACTATACACAGGGTGTAAAGCAAGATAAAATACAATTATTCTGTGAAAGAGTTGACAACTTCTTGATTAGACCTGCTGCAGAAAGTAACACCTCAGACTGCATTTAGCATATGATGTAAGTTGGATTGGGCAATTACCAGATTAGAACTTACAAAATATAAGCATTTTGTAGAGATGAAATATGCGTTATGAGTAGATAAGGTATTTAGCCTTTGCATACTACAAAATGTTTGTCCAAAACCTACCTCTTTTTTATTTTTTACTAAGTGGTTTCATTTTGTTGTCATACCCAGAAAAAAAAAAAAGAGTTCCTGCTCTTCCCTCTTTCTTCTTTTTGATCATCTTTTTTACAGGGGAGCTTTATCATTTAAAGTAAAAAGAGCTACAGTTCTGTGTTGTCGCTTCAATAAACTTGTAGATCTAAGAATTTATTAGTGAAAGAAAAAAGAATGTGTGATAATATGTCATTCACACTGTATCTGCCATATCCATTGCTGACAAGGTTTTCTACCCAATACTGGGGCTCATCAGTGCTAATGAACATAGTGGACTTTGGTGAGCGAGCATTTAGCTCCAGTGGATTGATTGCTCTTCTTAAGTTGTGTTGTCTGCTGGAGTGTGCCCATGCTTTGGAATAGAATATTTGCTTGTATAGATATGTTGGTGTAAATTTGATAAAATATGATTGCATAGCCTGCTCTGTTTCTTTTTACTATATAATGATTATTCCTTTTGAAATGCTTTTTTTTGGGGTGTTTTTTTAATTAAATAAAGTTTCAGTCTTACCATATATGTTGAAAATTTTTACTTTTTTTCAGCTGTCCCCCACGCACGTTTCTTCCAGCACTTTGCAGGATATTCCTGGATGAATGTGCACCAGACAATGTACTAGAAACAACAGCAAGAGCTATTACTTACTATCTAGATATATCTGCTGAATGCACTCGTCGTATTGTTGCAGTTGATGGTGCTATTAAAGCAATGTGTAACCGATTAGTTGTTGCTGACGTTTCTTCTCGAACTAGCAAAGATCTTGCTGAACAGTGTATAAAGGTAATGAATTAATAATATGAGATAGAATCAACAGTATATGACCTTATGAATTTATTATTCTACTTAGTTTTTTTAAATTGATAATTTAAAATAGTTATTTTCTATTAATGAGGGAATAACAACTTCTGTGGTTTAAGATGAGAGTCATTGTGGGAATTCCACTGCTTTGTAAAATACAATATACAGTAATTGTACATACGAAAAATATAAATTAAGTTTCATGTACATAATTATAATATTCTTATTTAAGTTTTTCCATACAGATATCCTTTTCTGCACGTCATGTGGATTTACTAAGTTATGTTCAAATTGTAATGAATTTATCATGATATACAAATAACATTGGCATCAAAATGTAGCTTATAAATCAACTTTTAATATTATATAAGTTTTAAGTTCTTACTATTATAAGAAAATATTTAAAAAAATCCTCAATATATCTTAGTATGAGAATTGTAACATTTGCTCTTGAGGTCTTCCCTGTTCTCTAATTTATTTATAGAGAAGTACAGAATTTAACATCAATTACTCATTGTAATATAGTTATTACTCAGGTGAAGCATAATTTTTTATAGCCATCAATCTTATTTGGTTACAAGCCAAAAACTAGAAAATCAGACCCCTTTTGCCACACCCACCTGTCACATCCTCTCTTTCAGAAATTACTAACAATTCTCTCTGACATTTAATATTATATTATGTATAACCAATAGAAAAACAAAGTTTTAATCTATTAAATAACATATTATATTACACTGTTTTTGGTACAACAAATTGTCTATTTTGCTTCCAGTTCAATCTTTATTATCACAGGAAACACATTGACAAGCTTAGGTGAATTTTTAATGGCTCTTATTGCATTGTTAGAAAGGCAGAAAGTTATGATAGTTATAGGACATTGTCTGCTTTTTACATGTTATTATTATGTGTTGTTTGGTACATTATTTTAATTAAATACAAAAATTATTTAGTGCAGTACTACCATTAGTATAAAAAAAGTAGGGTTAAGTTTTGCCAACAGTAAAAAAAGACCCAGGTAAGTACTGTATTTCATGTTTTTTATGTGTATTCTTTATTATTATAAAAGTAACTAAAATTTAAAAATTAGAAACTCGTTAGGTTAGATTAGGTAAATAAAGAAAATAGTAATTTTTTCACAAGGTATGCTTGTGAGTACCTCGTGCATTACATAATTTGATAGTGTAATATGAGCTACTTATTCATGAAGTGATTTACAGGATTATTAGTTAGACAGTTCAAAGGGTAAAAAAGGAAACAATAAAACTTTAAAAATGTATGTATGTATGTTTAGGATAAACAAATGTAGTTTCATGTTACAATTTGAAGCCATTCTAGAAAGAAAAAGGTAATTTAGATTTATTTCATATTTTTTTATGATAGTTACGATGTTGGAAAAATTGACCGACCTCATTTAGAGTTAAGGTAAAGAAAATAACAGATAAAATATAAAGTTTTACTCGAAAAAAATGCTTGAAACTTGTTTAGGGGGTTTTAGAAATTATGCAAATGAAATTTTTGAATTTTAAGATGAAGAATAGTATTTTTAATCTTGACGTAAATCACTTTGCACTCACAGCAACTATCTGATGATAACAAAACCTTGTCGAAACGTTGTACATCTGCTGTTATGTTAAACTTGTATTAAAGTTTTTCTTCATTACCCATTCAAGCCATCTCCAACCATTATTAGTTAGCATGTTGACTCCATATATTCACGCAGAAGTTTTTAGTAAAAATACTTCATTAAAAATTCAAATTTTTTATCTACAAAAGTCTTTTAATGTTTAAATTTAGTTTTATTTTACTTTTAATGTTTACTGAAAGCTTGACAAATTTATTGAAGATACGTTAAGTACTTTCAAAATTATAGTATGTATACTACCATGGTGGTTACAAGGTCATGTAAAATACAGAAGTCCATTATGATAAGGTTAACAGTAGTCCACAGAAGTGTAGTATTCTCTTAAGTTTCATATATCAGGCATAATAAGCTATCTGCTGTATTTTTGTTGGATTATTTGAAACTTTGAATATCACTTGAACTTTTTAAGCTATATGTATATACATTTTTCCAGAAATGCTGAGTAATGAGTATTATTTTTTATTATTATATTATCATCTTAAGTATCATCTTTAATTCAAGTACTTAGATATAAGATTTATTTCAATTTGCTAACATTGTGATTTTCAAATAGTACATGTATATAATGTGCTTTGTTAGTATATTTTAAGAGTTGTAAAACATAAAGACTGAGATTTTCCAGTCTGACCACTTAACAGTAATCAAGGGGAAAGAAAAATATTGGTGAATGAAGTTACAATACAAAGCTGTAATCATAGCAATGATTTATATTGGACAAATAAGCAAAACTAAAACACAGTCTGATTAAAAGAGTTTCTAGATATTCTAAACAAGTAAAGCATAACAAATTACTGAGAACACAATAAATAAAAAATGTTTTTTGGAAGATGATCATGTTTCTACAAAGGCAAGGACTGTTCTTCTTCATAGTTTGTGTATTATTATTATTATTTTGTGTGTGTTTTGCTTAGATGGTCCAAAAATATTTTTTTGGCTAATTGTTTGTTTCATTTATTTGTACTAAACAATCTAATACTCTACATTAATTTTGAATTGTCTTCATTCACCATTAAGTGTTTTTTCTATTTATTTTAAATTTAGAGATACTTGGCTCTTGTTTTTATGCTTAAAAGTACTGAAGATTTATTTTTTATCTTACTTACAAAAGCCAAACAAAAATATTTACAAAAATAACTGGATAATACTTTAGTAAACAGCTTCAAAAACTGAAGAAAATGAACTATCTACTGAATATTATATATCTGTCTTGAGATCTTCAACTAATAATGAAGTTTGTAGTTAAGAAGGAGTTTTTTTTGTAACAAACTGAAAAATTCTCAGGACTATCACATTATTTGAACAATGTGAGTGAATTTATATGAAGCAGTTTTTCTGTTTATTTTCCTATAACTTAAAGGACTCACTGGTGAAACAAAAACAAATCATGTTTCACAAATGTTTCAAATAATGCAAGTTTTGGTTTATTTTTGGTTCAGTATAATGTGTTTATCCTGAAAGTGATCTAGTTCAAAAAATGAGTCTAAAAAACTAAGTGGCACATTTTAAAATAATTTCTCATACTAGAATTTCCTAAAGGAAAAAATGTTGGCAAATTTTATTTGTTTTCATAGTTACATAAGTATTCCAATACAAACTTTTTAATATGAGACACTGTTAGAAATGATAGTTTTTCAAAATCATTTTGTGAGGTTTGAAATGTGATTTAGTGAGTTGGGAAGATATGTTAATGTACTATTTCTATTTTGAAAGAAAGTAGTATCTTAGAGAAGAATGTGAAAAAAGTGGTATCTTAGTGAAGAATTAAGTTTATCTTACAGAAAAGAAATTTTTATTTGGTAGATTTCAGGTTAATGAACTTTCAGGACTACTGGAACTATGGTAAAATTCTTAATGTGTAAGTTAATAACATTTTATGTATGTAAAATTGTTAATAATGAATTGCATTTGTTACTAGTTAGTTTCTATTTTTTTGAAACACATGCTAAGAGGTCTTGTGGGGATAAAACGTTCAGTGGGAGAGGCTTGTCAACAAAACCTTTGATTTTTTTCAATGTTTTGCTGACAAGTCGATGTGATTTTTTAAAACTCTGTACAATTGGACATTTTAATGCCATACTGAGTTTTAACAACAATGTGCTTTTTAAACTCTTTTTTGCACTTATCGCTGAGTTACATTCAAAATTTAATCAAACCACTTTACTATCATCGTATTTTAATAAAATTATTATTATTACTATCAAGTATGTTATAATTCAAAGTTTTATATCATCTTAGTTTTTAGTCCTTTATTTCAAAAGAAACATTGAAAACAGTAATGAAATCTCTCAGTTTTGTGTCATGTGATGCAGGAGCATTTGGCGAAGTATAGCTTGAACCATAAGGTGGTAGTCATGTACATGTAAGTATAAAAGAGAAAGTAATTTACTTACCCTTTTGACATGTACGTTTCAAAGTTCTTTGGCTGAATGCAGTTGAAACAAGAAATAAATTTTGTCAACCCGACAGGTGCCATGCTCACCTTCTGTAGTTAACATTGAGCTTTAGAAGTTACCTGTACTTTCAACATGTATGTGTTTATAGTTGTTAGAAAGAGCTCATTTTACACTATAATCCAACAATGGTTATTTTGAAATTGGTGCCAAGTTATCATCCTCGGGTAGATGTAACTGTTTGCACTATTGTTGACTGCTTTGTTCATGATAGCACTTCAGTAGTTTCTTACCTAAATATATTATAGTTAGAGAGACAGTTAAATTGTATTTAGGTTTTACAATTATGTTTTAGTTAATTGTGCATTCTTTGTGTTTTAAAGTTCATATTTGAAAGATTTAATAATTTCTTATGAAATAAATAAAACATCCCTTCACTCTGCAAGGCTTACATTACCAAGAGTGTATAAAAAGATTTTGCTGGAGGCTAAGGTATCTCTGCCATTCATACTGTTCTATCACCTGCAGGTGACAACATAAATAATCAACAGTAAAGAATAGGAAAGGAAAGGAAAACATTAAAAATAAACTATAACTATGAACTACTTCTATTTCTTAATTTTAAGCATTTCATTGCACTGTACATTGATGATAATGCTAGAGTTAGTGATGTGGTTGAGAAAATGGATAATAAAATATAAGCATTTACCTTAAAAAACTTTTGTTATTCATTTAGGATGTTCTAGAGATTATGGAAGTGAAATATGAAAATTGTAAGATAATAAATAGTATTTTTATACCCAAAATGAAAATTGCCTTGCAGGTTAATTATTCAGAATCTGTGTGCAAATAACTACATTAAATAACAAGTTTTTATTAGAAATAGTAGAAACAACCAAAATTAAATATTTTATTTTTCTCAAACTACATACTTTTATGAAAGTTTT